CACCTTTTCCTATTAGGATGTAGACTCATCAACGAACAAACCTTTTCCTTTTAGGGTGTAGATTCATTAACGAACACACCTTTCCCATTTAGGATGTAGATTCATTAATGAACACACCTTTTCCTATTAGGATGTAGACTCATCAACGAACAAACCTTTTCCTTTTAGGGTGTAGATTCATTAACGAACACACCTTTCCCATTTAGGATGTAGATTCATTAATGAACACACCTTTTCCTATTAGGATGTAGACTCATCAACGAACAAACCTTTTCCTTTTAGGGTGTAGATTCATTAACGAACACACCTTTCCCATTTAGGATGTAGATTCATTAACGAACACGCCTTTTCCTTATAGGATGTAGATTCATTAACGAACACACCTTTTCCTATTAGGATGTAGACTCATCAACGAACACACCTTTCCCATTTAGGATGTAGATTCATTAACGAACACACCTTTCCCATTTAGGATGTAGATTCATTAACGAACACACCTTTCCCATTTAGGATGTAGATTCATTAACGAACACAACTTTTCCTTTTAGGATGTAGATTCATTAACGAACACAACTTTTCCTTTTAGGATGTAGATTCATTGGACATGCAGAGTCAGAGAAGAAGTATCGCTTTATCCAAACTTCCTTATCTTCCACCGAGTCTGGAAGAAACTTCTGCCACGGATGTTCGTCACCGAAAAGATCGAAGAAGAAATCTATCCGTTGGTTGTTGTCCACTTCTGGTCCAAGAAAGGTCTCAATTCAGACCACTGACTCAAAGAACGTCGTCTTTAGAAGAAGATGTTATGAACTCTTTGAGTTACGAGGTTACAACCCCAGACTACATTCCAACACATTCGTCTTCTGAAACGTATAAAAACCATCCTTGGGATTCTCTGTCCAGAAATATGTCAAAGAATTGCGTGCATCGCTCAGCAAAGACAACAGCACGAGAAGCTGTACAACAGGAAGGACTCGTTACGTCACTTCCGTCTTACATGTACACTTTAAAACAACGGCTTCGAGAAGAACTATTGACAGTCAGAGACGAAAGGAAAAGACTGGCAGAACTGACGGAAAAGGGACGAGATTTAGGCCTCCGTCACAAAAGTGATACAGACATCGCCTTTCTCTTGCCACCTTCCGCCTACTTGGACGATATGTTTTCCCAGTTGAGAGTTCGATCGGGACCCGTCAGGACCATTTCCACGTCTGCACAGACGTCCCCACAAGACAGAGAGGGTGGGTTTTACCTACAACACTCGTCATCGTACACTATGGGTGATAAGATTCCTGGTTTGCTTCATTCCAGAACATTTGAATCTTCTCTCGGGAAAACTCTTCAAGATGGCGGTTCTTGGTACACAGAGACGTTGGATAAACGTTTCCCGGGCTATCACCATCACCGTCATTCAAACAGCTCAACAGAAGATTCCCAAAACCTGTTTGATCTGCACATGAAGGAGACATCTGACAACATTACTTTAAGTAACCATTATCAAAGAAGGCGGACACGGTGAGTTATTATTAATGGACAATTTAGTCCCAAACTTTCTTCTTCTCACTTTTTATTTAACTTACGACCGTAAAAATTCGGGTTTCGCGACCCGTAGTAGGCCAATACAGATGGTCCATTGTGTAGTTTTACGTTTAACAACAACCAAACCAGTTTGTATTATAATTAATTTTATTGCGTATGACGGAGCTCTTAATGTTCAGTGTCTCAGCCAATGAAAACACTAGCCACACCATATCATCGCATGATGGAGTTCTTAATGTTCAGTGTCTCAGCCAATGAAAACACTAGCTACACCATATCATCGCATGATGGAGTTCTTAATGTTCAGTGTCTCAGCCAATGAAAACACTAGCCACACCATATCGCATGATGGAGCTCTTAATGTTCAGTGTCACAGCCAATGAAAACATTAGCCACACCATATCATCGCATGATGGAGCTATTATTGTTCAGTGTCACAGCCAATGAAAACACTAGTCACACCATATCATCGCATGATGGAGCTATTAATGTTCAGTGTCACAGCCAATGAAAACATTAGCCACACCATATCATCGCATGATGGAGCTCTTAATGATCCGTGTCTCAGCCAATGAAAACACTAACTAACCACACCATATCATCGCATGATGGATCTCTTAATGTTCAGTGTCTCAGCCAATGAAAACACTAACTAACCACACCATATCATCGCATGATGGATCTCTTAATGTTCAGTGTCTCAGCCAGTGAAAACATTAGCCACACCATATCATCGCATGATGGAGCTCTTAATGTTCAGTGTCTCAGCCAATGAAAACACTAGTCACACCATATAATCGCATGATGGAACTCTTAATGTTCAGTGTCTCAGCCAATGAAAACACTAGCCACACCATATCATCGTATGATGGAGCTATTAATGTTCAGTGTCACAGCCAATGAAAACACTAGCCACACCATATCATCGTATGATGGAGCTATTAATGTTCAGT